TTGTTTGTGCAGTTAAGATAGTAATAAGGGCATTTCTACCGTGTGTTGTGTGTAAAAAAGCGTTAGCATTGTTTCGCTCAATGCTAATTCAAAGTCTTGGTATTACTCTTGTGTTTTTTTTAGCTAACAATTGTTCTTATTGTCAGTTAGCAGAGTTTCTTACCTTTAAAAGGGTATGAAACATTAATAGTTTCTAGGGGTGCACCGAATGGGAAATTCTTGGCCGAAACCGATACCGAAAATAGGACACAGTTGGCCGAAAACCGAATGCCGAAAGGCCGAAAATGATTAATAGAAATATATATATATATATATATATATATATATATATATATATATATATATATATATATAATGTATACATTTTTTACCAATGTTGTTCAGCTACCTGATTATGGAAATAGACATGATTATGGCAAAACTTAACTTAAATACCCCAGCGCGTGCACTACGCTCTGCATCAGCCAAACGACTCGTTGCGCCCTCGCTGCGAGGGGGACCCAAGTTCCCATCGGCGAAAACACGTGGGTTTGCTGTCCTGGCTCCAAGATGGTGGAATGAGCTCCCCATTGACATCAGGACAGCAGATAGCTTGCACATCTTCCGGCGCAAACTGAAAACTCATCTCTTTCGACTCCACTTCGAGCGATAGAACTATTAACGAAGCACTTTTATACTAATAAAGGACTGGCTTACCTAAAGCCAGTTGAGTAGCACTTGAAATGTTTGGCTCTATGAAACCTGATATACTTATATGATTCTGTTTTCTTCAAGGTTGTGTCTTCCTGGTCGAATGTACTTATTGTAAGTCGCTTTGGACAAAAGCGTCAGCTAAATGCAATGTAATGTAATGTAATGTAAATAATAATCACTATTATGGGTCCATAAAACATTTATTCAGCACTTTTGAATGCATACAGTACATTTATATATGTCATGTATTATTGCTAAAAAACATGATATCGCAGTCTTAGTGTCGCCAACTCGTTTCTAATATGCAAAGACAACAAATGCGTCTATGATGTATTTTCGATCAGACGAGATCTCTCTCCCGCGTCTGTGTGCGAGGGGGCGGGGCAGTTTACACACGCAGCTGCTACATGCAGCGGAGCACACTGCGGAGATGGCGGAGAGAACGCGCTCCGAGGTGTGGTTACACTTTACCCGTCTCGATGTGGAGAATACTTGTTACCATAAGTGCAATAAGAGTTTAGCATGTAAGCACGAGCAATTTGTCTAAACATTTAGCAAAAGTGCACCGCATGCAGACGGAGGAATGCACCGGGTTCCACCGTCTTTCTAGCAGCTCTGTAGCCCCATCCACGAGTAACGTTTCCACGTCAGGTGTTCTGTATGCTAGCAGCAACACACGGAGTTAACTACATTATACAAACATGGGTTAATGATTAGAGGAAACTGAGTTATTTAGTTGTTAAAATTTCAGCTATTCTGTTTACAGTCTGTGCTAAAACCCTTTCGGCCGAAAGGGCCTTTTTAACCATTTTCGGTGGCCGAATATTCGGTGCAACCCTAATAGTTTCATAAATGTTAAGAAGCCCTGAGACATGTGTGAGAAAAAAAACTGTGGGAGGGGTCCACTGGGGGGACCTTCGGGCTTAACTGGTTAACAGAACAAGCACCTACAAGGTAACACAAACTAAAATAGAAAGGAGTCACAGAGCAAAACACCATCAAGCTGCTTTGATCCGGAGTGAACAGCAGGAATGCTGATGTGGCTTCCTCAGTGTTCTGGGAGGTCTATGCCCTGCAACAAACGTTAACACTGCTTTCTTCAAGTAAATGCACTCTCGCTAAATAAAATATTCAAGGCACAGTTTCTCAGTATAAAAATGCACTTTGTGTTTTAGGCAGCACGAGCAGTGATGCAACATCAATGAAAAGGAGAGTAACACATAACTAAGTAAAACATAAAACATCAATGAGGAAAAGTCCGTGCCAAACAATTAAAATGTAAACTTTAGACTTGAAGTGCAATCAAAGACTTTATAACTGAACATCTGTTTCAAAAAACACAATATAAATACCTTATTGATCAAATAAAATACAAGCCAACAGAATCAACCAAGACAATAAATGAAGTGCAACACTGTCTGCATCCTGACAGCTTGGTTTTTACTAACCGGTGTCAGTAGTTACTTCGGCATCATTTTGAAACGTGTATTACATGAAATCACGGTCACATAGGTTCATTTGGTCGCAGTTGGTTTCCACCACAGTATTTACATGGATATAAGCCCCGCCCCCTCTCCAGCGCGTCCTGTTTGAGTGACAGGAGTAAACAGCTGACAGCCGCGGTGAAACTCCAGCGGTTAGGGTGAGAATATTCGCATCGCGTCCGTTGCGAACGCAGCGTAACAAAGCAGCTTCGAGATGTTAACAGTATCAGGGGCACGCGGGCCATGGTGGCCGTAGGACGTACAATTGTTTTCGGGGCCTCACGGCCAGACCGGCCGTCATGGCCGCCGTGAAAATCCTACCCTGGTGCACTATCACGATAGATATGATATCTCTGAAAAGGCATATCGTGGAGACCTAACATCGTCTTGACGATATATATCGTCATATCGCCCACCCCTAGTCGAGATTAACCTGAGCAATAACAGTTCATGGCGAGTACAGCGAATACAAGTTGTAACAAGCAGTAGCACCGAGCAAAGTGACCAGAACGCGACCACACACTTATTAAAAACACTTATATAAAGTCAGGCAACACTAGTGTGCTTAGTGTGGTTCTGTTTATTTGACCTTACTTTAATGACTGTTCACTGTTATTGACCATTGTGAAGAGGCAGACGTGTTCCTGTTGTTTTGTATTAGTGCAGCTATCGGATCTATACATGGGCTACATGTGGCCATCACAAGTAAAATCATAACGAAAACTACGCTGGTAAAATATGCGTGTAGAAAACGGCTTATGCCACAATATGATGGCAACAAGTAGTCAATTTGATTAGCTTCGGTTGCTATGCTAACCTCACCTGTAGAAAGCCAGAGAAACGTTCATAACCGCGTTGTGATGCCAAGCAGCTTTCAGACTGAAACACATTCACTGATGGGGGATATTTATCAGCTGCTTGTGTGACAGTCGGACAGTGAAAGCTTTACAGCTGCCGCGAGTTAACGGGAGAATAAACTCCGGTGCACGAGCAGCACTGCAGCGGGTAGTAATCCAGCTGAACTACATTAATAAACAATGCACCACGGCACTCTGGAGAAAGGTACAAGGTTGGAGAAGTAGTTCTTTAATTTAATCTGGCTTCGTATGATTAAAATCTACCCGACGCAGTCCTCTATTGATGTTGTTGTGAGCGGTGTTGCGGAGAAAATCAGCGACGTAAAACGCTGTGTGGGTCATAAGAAGGCACGTAACGGTTACGCAATGACGCCATGACTCACCTCTGAACCTGCATCTGTAACGATGAGTGGACCAAAGAAAAGAAAAGTCGACATTGAGTGTTTAATGAGGAGTGGACAGCTAAATATTTTTTCACCAATCTGCTGGCCCGGCCCGTCTGTCAAATTTAAAACTCATAGTGGCCCCCGAGCCAAAAGGTTTGCCCACCCCTGCTATAGATGCTATCTGATGCTATAGATGCTATCTGAGGCTATAGATGCTATCTGATGCTATAGATGCTATCTGAGGCTATAGATGCTATCTGATGCTATAGATGCTATCTGATGCTATCTGATGCTATAGATGCTATAGATGCTATCTGAGGCTATCTCTGAGGCTATAGATGCTATCTGAGGCTATAGATGCTATCTGAGGCTATAGATGCTATCTGAGGCTATAGATGCTATCTGAGGCTATAGATGCTATCTGATGCTACAGATGCTATCTGATGCTACAGATGCTATAGATGCTATCTGATGCTATAGATGCTATCTGATGCTATAGATGCTATCTGAGGCTATAGATGCTATCTGATGCTACAGATGGTATCTGATGCTACAGATGCTATCTGAGGCTATAGATGCTATCTGATGCTACAGATGCTATCTGATGCTATAGATGCTATCTGAGGCTATATATGCTATCTGATGCTACAGATGCTATCTGATGCTACAGATGCTATCTGATGCTATAGATGCTATCTGAGGCTATAGATGCTATCTGAGGCTATAGATGCTATCTGAGGCTATAGATGCTATCTGATGCTACAGATGCTATCTGATGCTACAGATGCTATCTGAGGCTATAGATGCTATCTGAGGCTATAGATGCTATCTGATGCTACAGATGCTATCTGAGGCTATAGATGCTATAGATGCTATCTGATGCTATAGATGCTATCTGATGCTATAGATGCTATCTGAGGCTATAGATGCTATCTGATGCTACAGATGGTATCTGATGCTATAGATGCTATCTGAGGCTATAGATGCTATCTGATGCTACAGATGCTATCTGAGGCTATAGATGCTATCTGAGGCTATAGATGCTATCTGATGCTACAGATGCTATCTGATGCTATAGATGCTATCTGAGGCTATAGATGCTATAGATGCTATCTGATGCTATAGATGCTATCTGATGCTATAGATGCTATCTGAGGCTATAGATGCTATCTGATGCTACAGATGCTATCTGATGCTACAGATGCTCCCAGAATGCACTGCGGTTCCCAGTATAACAGTTGTTTCCATAAACATTCATCTGTTTGCATCTTGCTAATTATTTATCCATCTATCATATTCCATGTACTTGTACACAGACTCTTCTGGTACTATTTCTATTGTATTTACTTTCACATCTCAAAACATTCTCTTTCACTCTTTGATCTGTTTTATTAGTTTGATGTCCTATATATATTCATGTTGCTCTGCTGGAGGAGGACTCCAGTTTGTCCACTCTAGTCGGAGATAGAGGGTCCCTCGAGTCAATAAAGTGAGCCTGAAGCATCCTTTGTGCTCCAGTCGATGCTCTCAGTAAATACAGAGCAACATGTTAATATTTTAATTGTTTGCTGGTGTTTCAGGCAACATAGAGCCGCAGACGGATGTGTCTCTGGGGGGGGGGTCCTCCTTCAGACCCGGCGGAGCAGTCTCTGCTCAACAAGCTGATCCGGAGGTCTCTGGTGAGGAACAGGAACCAGGTGGAGGTTCTGCAGAGAGACCCCAGCTCCCCCCTGTTCTCTGTGAAGACCTTCGAGGAGCTGCGTCTGTGAGTGAGGGGGAGTGGAGTAATATTTAGTATCTTCCAGTAGCAGGAAACTAATCTGTAGAGTTTACTTCAGTAGTTGTTAGGTACTCAGTTACTCCTCTGTGTATATACATTTCCCCCTGACAGGAAGCCAGAGCTGCTGCGAGGTGTTTACTGTCTCGGCTTCAACCGCCCGTCTCGCATCCAGGAGAACGCTCTGCCCATGATGCTGGCCCAGCCGTGAGTCTCTCTCTGAGCAGTATGTTGTTACTGTAACATCACTAACTAACTGATCCATGATGCTGGTCCAGCCGTGAGTCTCTCTGAGCAGTATGTTGTTACTGTAACATCACTAACTAACTGATCCATGATGCTGGTCCAGCAGTGAGTCTCTCTCTGAGCAGTATGTTGTTACTGTAACATCACTAACTAACTGATCCATGATGCTGGTCCAGCAGTGAGTCTCTCTCTGAGCAGTATGTTGTTACTGTAACATCACTAACTAACTGATCCATGATGCTGGTCCAGCAGTGAGTCTCTCTCTGAGCAGTATGTTGTTACTGTAACATCACTAACTAACTGATCCATGATGCTGGTCCAGCAGTGAGTCTCTCTGAGCAGTATGTTGTTACTGTAACATCACTAACTAACTGATCCATGATGCTGGTCCAGCAGTGAGTCTCTCTCTGAGCAGTATGTTGTTACTGTAACATCACTAACTAACTGATCCATGATGCTGGTCCAGCAGTGAGTCTCTCTGAGCAGTATGTTGTTACTGTAACATCACTAACTAACTGATCCATGATGCTGGTCCAGCAGTGAGTCTCTCTCTGAGCAGTATGTTGTTACTGTAACATCACTAACTAACTGATCCATGATGCTGGTCCAGCAGTGAGTCTCTCTGAGCAGTATGTTGTTACTGTAACATCACTAACTAACTGATCCATGATGCTGGTCCAGCAGTGAGTCTCTCTGAGCAGTATGTTGTTACTGTAACATCACTAACTAACTGACCCATGATGCTGGTCCAGCAGTGAGTCTCTCTCTGAGCAGTATGTTGTTACTGTAACATCACTAACTAACTGATCCATGATGCTGGTCCAGCAGTGAGTCTCTCTGAGCAGTATGTTGTTACTGTAACATCACTAACTAACTGACCCATGATGCTGGTCCAGCAGTGAGTCTCTCTGAGCAGTATGTTGTTACTGTAACATCACTAACTAACTGATCCATGATGCTGGTCCAGCAGTGAGTCTCTCTGAGCAGTATGTTGTTACTGTAACATCACTAACTAACTGATCCATGATGCTGGTCCAGCAGTGAGTCTCTCTCTGAGCAGTATGTTGTTACTGTAACATCACTAACTAACTGATCCATGATGCTGGTCCAGCAGTGAGTCTCTCTGAGCAGTATGTTGTTACTGTAACATCACTAACTAACTGATCCATGATGCTGGTCCAGCAGTGAGTCTCTCTGAGCAGTATGTTGTTACTGTAACATCACTAACTAACTGATCCATGATGCTGGTCCAGCAGTGAGTCTCTCTCTGAGCAGTATGTTGTTACTGTAACATCACTAACTAACTGACCCATGATGCTGGTCCAGCAGTGAGTCTCTCTCTGAGCAGTATGTTGTTACTGTAACATCACTAACTAACTGATCCATGATGCTGGTCCAGCAGTGAGTCTCTCTGAGCAGTATGTTGTTACTGTAACATCACTAACTAACTGATCCATGATGCTGGTCCAGCAGTGAGTCTCTCTCTGAGCAGTATGTTGTTACTGTAACATCACTAACTAACTGACCCATGATGCTGGTCCAGCAGTGAGTCTCTCTCTGAGCAGTATGTTGTTACTGTAACATCACTAACTAACTGATCCATGATGCTGGTCCAGCAGTGAGTCTCTCTGAGCAGTATGTTGTTACTGTAACATCACTAACTAACTGACCCATGATGCTGGTCCAGCAGTGAGTCTCTCTGAGCAGTATGTTGTTACTGTAACATCACTAACTAACTGATCCATGATGCTGGTCCAGCAGTGAGTCTCTCTCTGAGCAGTATGTTGTTACTGTAACATCACTAACTAACTGATCCATGATGCTGGCCCAGCAGTGAGTCTCTCTGAGCAGTATGTTGTTACTGTAACATCACTAACTAACTGATCCATGATGCTGGTCCAGCAGTGAGTCTCTCTGAGCAGTATGTTGTTACTGTAACATCACTAACTAACTGATCCATGATGCTGGTCCAGCAGTGAGTCTCTCTGAGCAGTATGTTGTTACTGTAACATCACTAACTAACTGATCCATGATGCTGGTCCAGCAGTGAGTCTCTCTGAGCAGTATGTTGTTACTGTAACATCACTAACTAACTGATCCATGATGCTGGTCCAGCAGTGAGTCTCTCTCTGAGCAGTATGTTGTTACTGTAACATCACTAACTAACTGACCCATGATGCTGGCCCAGCAGTGAGTCTCTCTCTGAGCAGTATGTTGTTACTGTAACATCACTAACTAACTGACCCATGATGCTGGTCCAGCAGTGAGTCTCTCTGAGCAGTATGTTGTTACTGTAACATCACTAACTAACTGATCCATGATGCTGGTCCAGCAGTGAGTCTCTCTCTGAGCAGTATGTTGTTACTGTAACATCACTAACTAACTGACCCATGATGCTGGTCCAGCAGTGAGTCTCTCTCTGAGCAGTATGTTGTTACTGTAACATCACTAACTAACTGATCCATGATGCTGGTCCAGCAGTGAGTCTCTCTCTGAGCAGTATGTTGTTACTGTAACATCACTAACTAACTGACCCATGATGCTGGTCCAGCAGTGAGTCTCTCTCTGAGCAGTATGTTGTTACTGTAACATCACTAACTAACTGATCCATGATGCTGGTCCAGCAGTGAGTCTCTCTCTGAGCAGTATGTTGTTACTGTAACATCACTAACTAACTGATCCATGATGCTGGTCCAGCAGTGAGTCTCTCTCTGAGCAGTATGTTGTTACTGTAACATCACTAACTAACTGATCCATGATGCTGGTCCAGCAGTGAGTCTCTCTGAGCAGTATGTTGTTACTGTAACATCACTAACTAACTGATCCATGATGCTGGTCCAGCAGTGAGTCTCTCTCTGAGCAGTATGTTGTTACTGTAACATCACTAACTAACTGATCCATGATGCTGGTCCAGCAGTGAGTCTCTCTCTGAGCAGTATGTTGTTACTGTAACATCACTAACTAACTGATCCATGATGCTGGTCCAGCAGTGAGTCTCTCTCTGAGCAGTATGTTGTTACTGTAACATCACTAACTAACTGATCCATGATGCTGGCCCAGCAGTGAGTCTCTCTGAGCAGTATGTTGTTACTGTAACATCACTAACTAACTGATCCATGATGCTGGTCCAGCAGTGAGTCTCTCTGAGCAGTATGTTGTTACTGTAACATCACTAACTAACTGACCCATGATGCTGGTCCAGCAGTGAGTCTCTCTGAGCAGTATGTTGTTACTGTAACATCACTAACTAACTGATCCATGATGCTGGTCCAGCAGTGAGTCTCTCTCTGAGCAGTATGTTGTTACTGTAACATCACTAACTAACTGATCCATGATGCTGGTCCAGCAGTGAGTCTCTCTCTGAGCAGTATGTTGTTACTGTAACATCACTAACTAACTGATCCATGATGCTGGTCCAGCAGTGAGTCTCTCTGAGCAGTATGTTGTTACTGTAACATCACTAACTAACTGATCCATGATGCTGGTCCAGCAGTGAGTCTCTCTGAGCAGTATGTTGTTACTGTAACATCACTAACTAACTGATCCATGATGCTGGTCCAGCAGTGAGTCTCTCTCTGAGCAGTATGTTGTTACTGTAACATCACTAACTAACTGATCCATGATGCTGGTCCAGCAGTGAGTCTCTCTGAGCAGTATGTTGTTACTGTAACATCACTAACTAACTGACCCATGATGCTGGTCCAGCAGTGAGTCTCTCTGAGCAGTATGTTGTTACTGTAACATCACTAACTAACTGATCCATGATGCTGGTCCAGCAGTGAGTCTCTCTGAGCAGTATGTTGTTACTGTAACATCACTAACTAACTGATCCATGATGCTGGTCCAGCAGTGAGTCTCTCTGAGCAGTATGTTGTTACTGTAACATCACTAACTAACTGATCCATGATGCTGGTCCAGCCGTGAGTCTCTCTGAGCAGTATGTTGTTACTGTAACATCACTAACTAACTGATCCATGATGCTGGTCCAGCAGTGAGTCTCTCTCTGAGCAGTATGTTGTTACTGTAACATCACTAACTAACTGATCCATGATGCTGGTCCAGCAGTGAGTCTCTCTGAGCAGTATGTTGTTACTGTAACATCACTAACTAACTGATCCATGATGCTGGTCCAGCAGTGAGTCTCTCTCTGAGCAGTATGTTGTTACTGTAACATCACTAACTAACTGATCCATGATGCTGGTCCAGCAGTGAGTCTCTCTGAGCAGTATGTTGTTACTGTAACATCACTAACTAACTGATCCATGATGCTGGTCCAGCAGTGAGTCTCTCTCTGAGCAGTATGTTGTTACTGTAACATCACTAACTAACTGATCCATGATGCTGGTCCAGCAGTGAGTCTCTCTCTGAGCAGTATGTTGTTACTGTAACATCACTAACTAACTGATCCATGATGCTGGTCCAGCAGTGAGTCTCTCTGAGCAGTATGTTGTTACTGTAACATCACTAACTAACTGATCCATGATGCTGGTCCAGCAGTGAGTCTCTCTCTGAGCAGTATGTTGTTACTGTAACATCACTAACTAACTGATCCATGATGCTGGTCCAGCAGTGAGTCTCTCTGAGCAGTATGTTGTTACTGTAACATCACTAACTAACTGATCCATGATGCTGGTCCAGCAGTGAGTCTCTCTCTGAGCAGTATGTTGTTACTGTAACATCACTAACTAACTGACCCATGATGCTGGTCCAGCAGTGAGTCTCTCTGAGCAGTATGTTGTTACTGTAACATCACTAACTAACTGATCCATGATGCTGGTCCAGCAGTGAGTCTCTCTCTGAGCAGTATGTTGTTACTGTAACATCACTAACTAACTGATCCATGATGCTGGTCCAGCAGTGAGTCTCTCTCTGAGCAGTATGTTGTTACTGTAACATCACTAACTAACTGATCCATGATGCTGGCCCAGCAGTGAGTCTCTCTCTGAGCAGTATGTTGTTACTGTAACATCACTAACTAACTGATCCATGATGCTGGTCCAGCAGTGAGTCTCTCTCTGAGCAGTATGTTGTTACTGTAACATCACTAACTAACTGATCCATGATGCTGGTCCAGCAGTGAGTCTCTCTGAGCAGTATGTTGTTACTGTAACATCACTAACTAACTGACCCATGATGCTGGCCCAGCCGTGAGTCTGTGATCAATAACATGTTATCACTAACGCACCGACTAGTATCACTAACTGACTGTAGTAGCTTTCTGTCTGTGATCAATGACATGATGTTATTGATCACAGACTGACGTTAATACCCTTCAGTCCTCAGAACCTCATCGCTCAGTCTCAGTCAGGAACAGGAAAGACTGCAGCGTTCTCTCTCGCCATGCTGAGCCACGTGAAGCCAGAGAACCACTGGACTCAGGTCAGTTCCATATATCTATCTATCTATATCACCAGAGAACCACTGGACTCAGGTCAGTTCCATATATCTATATATCTATATCACCAGAGAACCACTGGACTCAGGTCAGTTCCATATATCTATCTATCTATATCACCAGAGAACCACTGGACTCAGGTCAGTTCCATATATCTATATATCTATATCACCAGAGAACCACTGGACTCAGGTCAGTTCCATTTATCTATCTATCTATCTATATCACCAGAGAACCACTGGACTCAGGTCAGTTCCATATATCTATCTATCTATATCACCAGAGAACCACTGGACTCAGGTCAGTTCCATCTATCTATCTATCTATATCACCAGAGAACCACTGGACTCAGGTCAGTTCCATATATCTATCTATCTATATCACCAGAGAACCACTGGACTCAGGTCAGTTCCATATATCTATCTATCTATATCACCAGAGAACCACTGGACTCAGGTCAGTTCCATATATCTATCTATCTATATCACCAGAGAACCACTGGACTCAGGTCAGTTCCATATATCTATCTATCTATATCACCAGAGAAACCACTGGACTCAGGTCAGTTCCATATATCTATATATCTATACACCAGAGAACCACTGGACTCAGGTCAGTTTCCATATATCTATCTATCTATATCACCAGAGAACCACTGGACTCAGGTCAGTTCCATATATCTATCTATCTATATCACCAGAGAACCACTGGACTCAGGTCAGTTCCATTCATCTATCTATCTATATCACCAGAGAACCACTGGACTCAGGTCAGTTCCATATATCTATCTATCTATATCACCAGAGAACCACTGGACTCAGGTCAGTTCCATTTATCTATCTATCTATATCACCAGAGAACCACTGGACTCAGGTCAGTTCCATATATCTATATCACCAGAGAACCACTGGACTCAGGTCAGTTCCATATATCTATCTATATCACCAGAGAACCACTGGACTCAGGTCAGTTCCATATATCTATCTATCTATATCACCAGAGAACCACTGGACTCAGGTCAGTTCCATATATCTATCTATCTATATCACCAGAGAACCACTGGACTCAGGTCAGTTCCATATATCTATCTATCTATATCACCAGAGAACTACTGGACTCAGGTCAGTTCCATCTATCTATATCACCAGAGAACCACTGGACTCAGGTCAGTTCCATATATCTATATCACCAGAGAACCACTGGACTCAGGTCAGTTCCATATATCTATCTATCTATATCACCAGAGAACCACTGGACTCAGGTCAGTTCCATATATCTATCTATCTATATCACCAGAGAACCACTGGACTCAGGTCAGTTCCATCTATCTATATCACCAGAGAACCACTGGACTCAGGTCAGTTCCATATATCTATCTATCTATATCACCAGAGAACCACTGGACTCAGGTCAGTTCCATATATCTATCTATCTATATCACCAGAGAACCACTGGACTCAGGTCAGTTCCATATATCTATCTATCTATCTATATCACCAGAGAACCACTGGACTCAGGTCAGTTCCATATATCTATCTATCTATATCACCAGAGAACCACTGGACTCAGGTCAGTTCCATATATCTATATCACCAGAGAACCACTGGACTCAGGTCAGTTCCATATATCTATCTATCTATATCACCAGAGAACCACTGGACTCAGGTCAGTTCCATATATCTATCTATCTATATCACCAGAGAACCACTGGACTCTGGTCAGTTCCATATATCTATCTATCTATCTATATCACCAGAGAACCACTGGACTCAGGTCAGTTCCATATATCTATCTATCTATATCACCAGAGAACCACTGGACTCAGGTCAGTTCCATATATATCTATATAAGCAATAGCTCACGACAGGCCGTGGTATATGGTCATTATATCCAGTATATGGTCAGTATATCACAGCTAGGGGGCGTGGTTCAACCCCCTTAGCTGTGATATAATGAGCATACACCACGGCCTGAAGTGAGCTGTTGCTTTTATCAAACGGTTACCACGTGTGGCAATATGAAAGAAAAATACACACTAATTTAAATAGTTTCTATTAGTAAATAATGACATTCAAAATAAAATAGTCCCTCCGTTGCCTTCTGCACGAAACATGGTGCGAGGTGGTTGCTAGGCAACAACACTAACAGCTAGCAAACACATTAGACAGAGAGCGTTGATCCAGCCACTGAAACCTGTGCAGCATCAGCAGCATGGCTCACGAGGTCACTTGTATAGGTTGAGGTTGTTCTGGCGAGCTTTGCACCTGTGGCCACTAACGCTCATCATGTCTCTGCTTTGGTTCAAGACCCCATCAGAAAGCTTCTGAATGGAGGTCCTTTCCAGTTGGTCTGCCTGCTCTTCACGTTAGGGGTGGGCGGATCGATCCCAAAATATTGATACTTCCGATATTACGTTTCAAAATATCGATACTAGAGCCAATAGGATCGATCCTTCTATACCTTTTTTTTCCTCCTCTCCTCGAGGCTCGTGCACGCACCCCGCATGAACGCCGATTATCAAGCTGACTGACAGCAGCAGCCAGCGACTCGCGAGTGCTACACACACACACACACACACACACACACACACACACACACAATCTGTCAATGAACACTTGGCGAGCTGTGATGTGTGCAAGAAGGCAGGTTGCTGCTGTGGCCACTTAGTATTGTTATTTTTCATGTTTCATTTTAAATTTGCAAAAGTAAAACGCTGCCTTTAATCATGAAAATTAATTCAGATGTAGTCCAGTGTTTCCCCTATAAATAGTTTATTTTAATTAAAATAATAATAAGTGGCGACCCTTTTTCATTTTTGATTGTTTGTCATGTGGATTTGTAGTATTGTTACTGTATGTTCAATAAAGCTGTATTTTTGCTAAATCTTGAGACATTGCCACTGTATGTATTCGGGATGGGAACGATTAATCGAATATTCGAAATTATTCAGGTATTCGAATATGAGTTATGAATATTTTTAGAAGTTTTTTTATTATTTTATTTTTTTGGGAGGGATGCCTAAGTTGATTACATATTATCAAATTGAATAATTCAATGTTTACGACAGTGCCATAGCTGAGTGTGTCAGGTCTAAAGGTGTGTTTTGCTCCGCTCACCGGCCCCTCACAGCGGGCAGAGCTGCAGGTGCTGATCTCTCTCTAGCGTCCGGTTATACTTCACTCGTGTTTATGTCCAAATCCATCAGGTCTAGTTCTAGCCAATGATATGGCTGCTGCCCCTCCCTACACGCAGACCACGCAGACTCAAACCTCATTTTAGGCCCAAATGCGCTCCGCAGCCGTTGCGATGTTCCGGCGCTAACAGTTCATGAGCGCGCTCCCCGCCCCCTGTCAACACTCGCGACACATGGCCAGCCTAAACAACAATAAGCGCTGCTTGGCAACCGTGTGTGGCGGCAAAGTACAGAGACATTTTGACTGGAGAGATTTAGTTTTGCCGGTATTCAACATATTTGACCAGTCATAGTCCGGTAATTATTTACACTCTAAAAAGAGTCCTACACAACAGACATGGCGTCAAAAAGGAGTAATGTGTGGAAATATTTCGACCAGGTTAGTGAGTGCGGTGTAGAGGTCAAACTATGCCAAATTAAACTTATATACATGCTATACCCTGCTATACCCGCAACCTCCGTTCCAGCTGAGAGGGTCTTCTCTACAGCTGGCTTGATTGTGAATCGCCTCCGCACATGAAAGCCTATAGATGTCAAACTGTGAGCACCAGTTCAATACATTTGATAAATTCGACTCGATGTATTTATTAATTTCCAAACGTTATTAAACATTTTTGAAGAAAAAAAATGTTACAATTTTTCTTTATAGAGTGAATTTTTCATTTCGGTTAACCGTTTTTTGGGGGGTCGAATACTCGAATATACATTTGCTTTCAAATTCCCATCCCTAGTGTGTACTAGGCAGGGCCAATTTTTGGCATAAACGACATAGACTAGGGCGCCAAATCTGGGAGGCGCTGGCAGCTCTGGGAGGGGAAAAAACATTTTTGACCGTTGGTGCTCATCCTAATGTTCGGCCTTGATGTAACAACATTCATAATTAATTAAATGTAACACCCTTGTCTCCCCGGTTACACTTTTAATTTGCCCTGTACGATGGGCGCTGTAAGGGATGAAAATGGGGGACGTTGGCTTATCTGGCGCCCGCAGATCCAAAGTGGGAGCGAGAGAGCAAGGGAGAGAGAGAGGGCGCACCGAGGGAGAGGGAGAGGGCGCACCGGTACCGGCGCTGTTGTTATTAGCATCTGGTGCTAGCTGCGCTAACGGATATAAGAAGTAGATGTTTCTACAACCAGGGTGGAGGAGAGCTCTCCTGTCAGACTGAGAGGCTGATAACTACAGCTCAGTGAGGTAAAGGACTCTGAGGGTTTAGATAGTTCACTTTAGTCTAAGTTATCTCAGTGGGTCTCAAACGTTTTGGTCACAATTTATGTAAACACATATTTCCAAGGTACTCCTTTATAATGATTGGGATAAAACAGGTTTGAAATCATTCCAATGTATACTATAGGACAGTAAACCAGACATATCGTTTAAAGTTGGAGAGATACAAAAATATGCATAAATAAATGTTAACTGGGTAAAATAAGATATGAATGAACAACAAAAATAAAATAAGTGACATTTGTTATTGGCTATGGTAGGTTATTGGTTATGTTCACATACTTATTTGATTATTAAAATGTAAACCGATCTTTTTCATATGGGTGTTTAGAGTTGTACCCCCTAGATCAGGTCTCTAGTAATTGTGTGCTCAAAGTGCACCAGATTGAAGCATTTTACATTTGCCCCCGGACCCCCCAGAGGATGTGACGTCCACCCCCCAATTAAAACGTGTTCATACAATACTGAAGCCATTTGGACGTATATGACCTACGTCAATACGTTTCTGTTTTTGTAGTGTATTTGTCTTTAGTAGAGATTTTTAATTTATTCTTTATATATAAAATCTGGCCTAGGGCAGCAAATTGTCTGGAACCGGCCCTGGTGCTAGGCCTCAAGAGCCTTTCTTGTGCAGACACACAGAAACAAATTGGCACTTTGCACGCACTAAGAAATTCCACGCCTTCCGCGCTCACATTGTGCTGGGCCCACGTGCCTTAGCACCGCTGCTATGACTCCATCCCAGGGGAAACACTGTAGTCTGATGCATTCAGCTCAAAAAGCATGTCATGATGCAGCTCTCCCCTATATCAAAGTACATAAGGCGCTTTTAATTTAAAAAAGTATCGTATCGGCGATACTGGCCCTGAAATACTTGGTATCGAATCCAGATGTTGTGGTATCGCCCACCCCTACTTCACGTAGCTCAGCATGTCGTCGTTTAGGTGCTCTCTGGAGATAGGCACTGCTCAATCCACTCCTCCATAGTGAGACCCCCCCGGAGGTTAACCTCACATGTTTCCATCTCAAGCTTTGTTAGTTTCGTAACGGACGTAATGTAACGGCTGTAGCTGTTTCTCAGACGCGGAGGGATACTGATTTACACAACTACAATTCTACCCGTGATATACGCTCATTATATCACGGCTAAGAACCAATCAGATTGCTTGATTTGACTCATTCGTTTTATAAATATATATATATATATATATCACCAGAGAACCACTGGACTCAGGTCTATTTGATTTTTGCCCCCCCTCAGTGCCGGTGCATCGCCCCCACCTACGAGCTCTGTATATAATATATAAACACTATAATATAATGTGATGTGTTATACCCCCCCCCCCCCTCCTCAGTGCCTGTGCATCGCCCCCACCTACGAGCTCTGTATATAATATATAAACACTATAATATAATGTGATGTGTTATACCCCCCCCCCCCCTCCTCAGTGCCTGTGCATCGCCCCCCACCTACGAGCT